TGAAGATTATTTTGTTCACAGGCTTCTTCCACCATAATTATTCAGAATTCGAAAGAAAGTCCTGAAAACAACACTATAATGAATCGAGAATCTTCCCATTTCCATTAATGAAATGATACTCATTAACGCAGTGATTTCCTGAGATAATTCGAATTTCCCTTTGAATCATAGTTTTCTTGCCCCCTACTGGTCATTTCAGAAACTCGAAAATTTTTCGAATCGATTTTTCAACGCCGACTTTGTCTATGGATTTTTTTTTTCGCGAACCTGTTAGGTGTATGGTTTCCATAATATCGTACCTCGCAGACCTTAGTGGGACACCCTGTATACATGTATAGATGAACCTCCATCATGCCCATAAATGGACACGAAATTGAATTCCGTAATGATCATGGGTCAACGGGGTCAGTTAGCCCAATGAAGGAGCATAGAATCAACAGAAAGCAATTTTTGTGAGACTCCAATTTTGGACAAACAGTTCCTACAATTCGAGAACTTGAACAAAAACAAAATCCGTGTGCTCTCTGAGCTCTCCGATTGATGTTTTACAACAATCAGTGAGGAAGTAGGCAGTAAAGAGTGATGTTGTAATGCTACAGCACTTTGAAAATGGAGTAATGGCAGTTCCCACCAAGAGTTAGAAAAAATCACCATTTTTTGATCGCTAGTGGAAACTATAGTACCAATTGTTTTTTTTTTATCGACGGAAAACGTTGTTTTCTTCAATTGAGTATATCGTGACTTTTTTGTAGAATTGGCCGTTTCCGGGAGATAAGTAGAGAACTAAAACAATACCGAGAATATCGAGGTATTTTGAATAGCAAAAATTTTCCTCAACCTCCTTGAGGTTGCAAACTTGGATTTGATATCACCAAACATGTTCAAATAACTTAGTCAAATTTGAATAACTTCTGAATTTCTCGTCAAGTTTGGCCTTCGACTTGTGGAGTTGTTTGAATTGACTTCTATGTTGCTATCTTGTCACGATGCCTTTTTTCTTCCAACTGTCTTTCTCTCCACAAATCAGGAATATTAGATAGATAGATAGATAGATAAATTTATTCGTCAATCAAAGATTATACAAGGTACATACACAATGTACAGAACTTATCAGACTAGTCAAACGAAGAAATGGTTTCAAATAATACAATGCTAAAATAGTGTACCTATAGGTAAAGTCAAAGAGACAAAATATAAAAAACTCATACATACACATTAGAAACTTTGACAATATTTGAACATCAACAATTATTATAAAACTCCTCCACACTATAAAATGCATTTTCAAGAAGAAAGTTCTTCAATTTATTTTTAAATGAAATATCATTCAAGTCTATTATGTCTCGTATTTTATTGAAACATTTGATACCCATATGCTTTGGTGAATTTTCACAGACTAACAATCTTGAATAGGGCTGTCAAAATTTTTCTTCATTCCTAGTATTATACATATGCATATCTTCATTTCTTATGAATTCATTTTGGTTTATTTTTATATACATAGTTAGTTCAAGAATATACAAACATGGTAGGGTTAGTATTTGAAATTTCTTGGAGAGTGGTTTACATGTTTTCATTGGATGGGCATAACAAATTGTTCTCATTATCCTTTTTTGTGATACAAATACCCTTTAAAAGTGACAAGAGGACCCCCAAAATATCAGGCCATATTGCAGAGTTGACTGAACCAGCCCAAAATGAAGTAACTTCGGGATGTTTGTAGATACAGTATCTCGCAGATTTTTTATTACATAGCATGTAGTGCTTAGTTTAGAACATACAGTGTTCATGTGTGCTTCCCATGTTAGCTCACTATCCAAAGTAACACCTAAGAACTTGATAGTCTCCACTGATTGTATAGATTTTCCAGACAAGTTTAGGTATAGGTCATAATTTGGATTTACGTTTTTTGGCAGGAAACGGACATAATTGGTTTTGTTTGTATTCAAAATGAGACCATTTTCAAGGCTATACTTTGCTATTTCCTTAGATGCATTGTTGCTCAATTTTGTAAGTTGGTCAATGTTGTTGTGTGACATTAGAATATTTGTATCATCAGCATATATTATCGTTCGATTTGCGGAGGTACAAGTGTCATCAATGTCGCTCAGAAAGGCAATGAACAGTAGTGGTCCCAAGATTGAACCCTGTGGAACTCCTCTATTTATTGTTCTTGATTCTGATTTCACATTATTCACTACCGTTGTCTGAGTTCTGTTTGTCAAATATGATGTTATCCATTGAAGTGGAACACCTCTAACTCCTAACCCTTCCAATTTGATGATTAATTAATCATGATCAATAGTATCAAAAGCACGACTAGAGTCATAGAATAGTCCTAGAACATTTTTTCTATCATTTAGAGCCTTGTAGATGAACTCTAAGCAGTCAGAGATTGCCGAGCAGGTTGATTTATTTTTGCGAAAACCATTTTGATTTGCTGGGAGGAGATTGAAGTGTTCCAAGTACTTGGTCAATCTAACACAATAAGATGCTTCAAATATTTTAGCAATTCGACTCTGTATGCATATAGCTCTATAGTTATGTATATCACTAGCGGATCCTTTGTTTTTGAATACAGGTATACATTTCGAATCCTTCACATCTGGAAATGTTCCAGATGTGAAAGATTCGTTTAGTAAATATGATATAATTTCTGCTACAAGAGTACAGACAGATTTGAGAATTTTACCATTTTCATCATCAATTTCAGCAGACTGTTTGGATGTTGTCTTGTTTATAATAGAGATAACTTCAAATGGCGTCACTGGTTCAAGGAAGAAGCTTCTGTGGAATCTGCGTATCTTTCTATCATCATTATTTGGTGTGATAAAATTTTGAGATGACTCTATGAAAAAATCGTTAATGAAATTACTTTTCATGACGGGGTCAGTGATTGCCTGTTCTTGATTATCAACAATGTTCAACTTATTTTTCTGCTTATCACAATTTCCTGCGTTAATAATCCTCCAGCTCTCTCTCACAATATTATCTGAATTGAGAAGTCTATCATCATTTTTTTGTTTTTGAAAGTTCTTCACTCGACATTTATATTCTCTTTTGAGTTTTCTATGTGCTCCTATACAGCTTTCATCCTGTGTTTGTTTTTTCTCTCTTTCCAATTCACAAAGTTGGTCATGCATTTCCTTGATTTCAGGAGAATACCATTTTTTTGTATTATTTCTCAATTCAGTTTTTTAGATAGGAAATGAGATATCATAATAATAAATGAAAGTTTCATAGAACATTGAAAACTTTTCTTGAAAAGTGCTAGCTGAGTATACTTCACTCCAGTCTTCCCTGGATATATGATATTGAAATGTACTCGTTATTAGAATCATTGAATATTCTTTTCTGAATATACTCATTTTTGTTTTCTTCAGTCACAGAAATATTCAGAGTGCAGAGCTGGTAGGTATGATCAGATAGAAAAGAGTGGAGTACATTTACATGGCTCAATTCCGTATTTAAAAAAATATTATCAATGCAAGTTGCAGAATGATTAGTTATTCTTGTGGGCTCTTTAATGTGATAATCAATATTGTACTCTTGTAGCAGATTCATCAACAGATTTTTGTTTACACTGCATTCGAGAAAGTTGATATTTATGTCGCTACAGATAATAACAGTGTCTCCTTTGTTATATATTTTATATAGCAATAGCTCAATTTTGTTAATAAAAGTACCAAAATTTATTACATTCGGAGAATCTATTTTCAATTCTAGAGATTCAAGTGATTCTGAGTGTTGAATCATTCGTCCATGAGCTTCCTCAATTCGCTATAAAATTCTTTCACTAATGATGGTGATGTGAATAGTGATTTTGAATGATTTTTCACCAACAGCGACTCATCATTATATCGATCATGAAGCGAATTCTATGAAATTTGATAATTCACAGCACAAAATTCTAGGTATTTCATTATTTGTCTAGCAACTCCACACGAAGGAAATGGCATATCTCAATATCATCAATGAAGTCATTCTCATGTATCAATGACCTGAACGTTTCTTTTGACTCCAACCAAGTGTCTATGACTCCGTTGAATTCAGGAATAAGGATAGATAGAAGGTTGGGCTGTGACATTATATAGCGTTGTGGTAAGGGGCTCTCGAATTGTGTATGAAAAGAATAGCTGATCGTTGTGACACACTATCCCTGAATCATCCCTATTTACATCGATCTTGCCCAGAATTCATTGCAATACCATGTCGATAACATCAAGAAGACAGTCATCAAATTCTTCTCCGACCCCAAAAAGATTTTCCAATTTATGTTCTTTCACCAACATTCATATTGCAGTTGGAACTTTATTGAATTCTGAAGGTGAAGGATTATGTCAATTCCACTTCAATCGAAACCATTTTCACTATAGGCCACCCATTAACCCATTTATTCGCATACATACCCATCTACAAATTTCTTGAATATGGTTAGACGATCTTCCACTACACCTGAACCCGGCTATCGGCTGAGCATTATTTTCTAAGATGTGTGATTCATGGTCGTAATCCTGGCAGCACCTCGATGCCCTAGAAGTGGTTCAGATTCCACTATGAGCTGAAGGTCCTGCTCTTCCTAACCTTGCACAAGTTCCGACTTATGGGGAGGTTCTCAACTTTGAAGTAGCGATTTACAAATTTTTCAAAATTTTACCTCTTTTCTATTCAAAGTTTCAATATCATTCGCCATAGTATTTCGATTGAGGACATTACCAATTTGTCCACTCAGGGCACCGAACAATAAACAAATGTATTTGTGTCAAGACCCAAATCAAGTAGGGACGCCCCTGCTCTCTGCTACGTAAACCACTAAATCCACGAAGGAAATGTTCGCGCTTGCGCCGTCCTCTAAATACCGCAAACTTGTAGCGGACAAGGGCGACATATCGATGTATGTACATACTCATCGCTAAGCGCGGTGCGATAGTGTCCAATTTTATTAAACACCGCGTAATAAAAATTTACTTGATACGCAACCGTTCGTTTTCACGACTCACCGCTTCCTTTTAAGATTGTTGCTAGGCTGCCTTTTATCGCGCTCAACCGGTTCAATCCAATTGCTATCTTGAAATCCAATCGAGGATAAATAGTTTATCTGGCTACCAATTGTGGACTGTGAGTCTTCATCAATAACATAATGAATCCCAAGATACTCTCAATTCATAATGATTTGTTCAGTTTTCAATGCGATTTCTTACAACCGTTCACACTGAGATAACGAGATGACTGACACTGCTGAAGCTACAGTCAAAAACTACTTCTCTGTTCTATTGCCAAGCAGAGATGTATCTGTCGATGAAATAGGTGGGGAAAGTGGCGTTGCCAGCTCTTCCAAATTGCCCGTCGTTCTACAATTCCTTACATTCCCTGAAGTTCTTAGAAACGTTGAAGAAGAATCAACTGCCCAGCGTCCACATTGCAACATTAGTAAAAGTCATCAATTTGAAAAATACAGGTTCAGGTCAACCCGTATGGATAAATATTCGAATGATCATGTCGTTGTATAGATACCATTCAATGAGGTGTTACATGTCCACTGTTTGCATTTAAAAAACATCTATTATTTGATTACTTAGACAACGATGACTCATCATCTCTTATATAAATGTTATATGCTGTTCCATTGTTCTCAATAGTATCAAGCTTCAAGCGATAATAATTCCTCAGAACATGATCATGACCTTGAAGTCAGCAACTGCAGAAATGGAATACAGTATTTGCTGACGCTGACACCAGCATCATTTTCAATATTCAATATTCAATTCATTGTTTATTTTATCAAGACTCAGCCACGGAATGAAGCTCATTGTATCAAATCGAACTATCTCGAATAAATAGTACTGTTTTTGAAAAGTTTATTCCGAAGAACGCGAGTTAACGTTGATGTCATGAGATGGGCTTCAAAAAGTGGAACCTATTTCCGAGAAGAGTCGCCCAAGTCGTCCCAGTGATTACTCACCTCACAGGCTGTGAGGAGTAGTCACTGGATTTTATCCAGCACGACTCTGCGTGACGTCGGAGGCCGCAGGGTCGTGACTGGAATTATATGAACTAAAATAATAATAATAATAATAATAATAATAATAATAATAATAATAATAATAATAATAATAATAATAATAATAATAATAATAATAATAATAATAATAATAATAATAATAATAATAATATGAGAGGGATATGGACCAATCCCTCAGGGTGGTGCAGGAGTACACGCAGGCAATTGGAATGGAATTCGGGATGGACAAATGTGCACTGGTTCATCTCAAGAAAGGACGATGCGAGAACTACGACAAGGACGCGCAGCTCGTGGACGGAAGCATCCTACACCACCTGGATGCCGGAGAGACGTACACCTACCTGGGTGTAGAGGAAACTCACATCCAGGAGGCACAACGGGTAAAAGACGCTCTCCGCAGCAAGTATCGGCAGCGGCTCCGACAGATCTGGTCGTCAGAACTGTCGGGGAAGAACAAAGTCGCTGCGACTAACATGCTTGCTGTTCCGATCCTACTCTACTCATTTGGAGTGATAAAGTGGACTCAAGTCGAGCTGCGACAACTTGACGTAAGTACTCGCAAGATGATGCATCTCCATAGGAGTCTGCATCCGAATTCGTCCGTTCCACGGTTGTATATACCTAGAGACCAGGGTGGCCGTGGACTCTTGAGCTTGGAGTATCTCCATAACAGAATGGTTCTGGATGGCGCCTGCAAAGTCATCAGGAGTTCGGATCCCCTTCTGCAAATGGTTAAAACCCATGAAGAGGCAGGAGTAGGAGCATTTCTTTTCAGAGCAGCACGTCGAGCAGCCGATGAATTGTCTCTGATTTTCGACTCCGAGCGCGAGGCTCAGGACTCAATTACTGAGCTAGAACCCGCTCGGAGAAAAACCCGCATCAAAGCTGCAGAAGTGAAAAAGCTGCTGCAGCTTCACATGGATAAGCCCATGCATTCGGTCTACTTCAAGACCATTGAAGACCGGGGCTTATCCAAAGAACTGACTTTCGCTTTTCTCAAGTCAGGCGGGCTTAAATCGGAAACATCGTTTTGAAGGAGGAGGAGAAACGGACTAAATATCGAGATCTTCTCTTCGATCTCCGCCGGCTCTATCCAGACCATTCTGTGGAATTGGTCATCCTGATTATCGGCTCCCTAGGAGGCACACGACACACGCTACTCTCGGAGATCCAGAAAATCCCAGCGTGCCGTGATAAGGCACACATCCTGGCTGGTGGTATGCAGAAGGCCGTCATACTTGGATCATTGCGTCTACTCAGGGCACACGGTACTTGGTCCCAGTGATTACTCACCTCACAGGCTGTGAGGAGTAGTCACTGGATTTTATCCAGCACGACTCTGCGTGACGTCGGAGGCCGCAGGGTCGTGACTGGAATTATATGAATTCAAAATAATAATAATAATAATAATAAGAGCACACGGTACTTGGTCCCAGTGATTATTTACCTCACAGGCTGTGAGGAGTAGTCACTGGATTTTATCCAGCACGACTCTGCGTGACGTCGGAGGCCGCTGGGTCGTGACTGGAATTATATGAACTGAAATAGTGATAATAATGAATGATTTTATTGAGTCAGCATGAATGTACAACAGGTATTATTATACATATATGTTTCTCATACGGCAGAGTTCAATTTCACGATTAGATCGCAAATTGCTCTTTCACTCAACCGGAATGAAACGTACTTGGATTAGTGATGTCTGTTCTTTTGTTCATCGTTTTGTCATTCTCAACTCGTCCTCCTTAAATCATCCATATTTTATATACAATCTACAATAACATATGATATTTCACATTTTATGTCAAGTATTCATCTCACTCTGTAAATTCAACTCTATATGAATTAGTCAACCATCATCTATGATATTTTTTGTCACATCATTTCATTCATTCATACACATGTGTTCTCTTTTTGTGCTGATTATATATAGTATTTCATGTTAGTAAGTATACCTATTTCATTGATGTACATTCATATATTACCATTATTGTTCATTCGATGTTCTAGAAAGTCTTGATAAAGAAAATAAACATTTTCGAAAGCTCGACAAATAACGAAGAAATCTATTCAATATTGGTCACATTTGACTGCTTTCCACGAATATTCCCGAAAATATGATCTATAGAACAGTCACGAGAACTTCTTTTTTCATATATATATATACAGTGTGGTCATTTCAGTACATATGGTACATACATATGGTAATCGTTTCAATGAATTGCACAACCAGAATACAGATAGTGCTGAAAGTTGGCGCATGCACAGCTATCATTTCAGGTGCACTTAGTATGGTTACATGTCAAACAGCATACAGGATGGGTCGAAAAATATAAAAATTGCTCTAGAATGAAGTACTCTTATTTCAGAAAATTCAGCAGAATGTTATGGAGAAAAAATGTAAACAATTGGAAAGTATGCCTGAATACGAAAACATGGCCTCCTACGACTGATTTCAGTTTTGAATTTTTTTCGTTAATAATTTCCCAATTTGTAATTTTTCTTGTATTCACCCTGAACACTTTTATAAGTTAATCATAACAAAATCAGTTGAGCATACCTTTATTCAAATTCGAGCATATATGTTCAATTAACTTGGATTTCATGTTTGTTGCAACGATATTCAGTTTAACTTTGAAATGTCGCAAACCATATTTTTGACAAGGTGATTTAAACATCATTAATTAAAATATGCATATTCAAAAACTCTCATTCAATGTGAATATTTTGTATTTGAATTGTTTATAAAAAAGCTGTATAAATTGATCGACAACCATATCTCTTTGAAAAATCACGGATACCCAAGGAAGAAAACGAATGAGGGTTGACAGTTAATATTAAGGCGACTTCAACATCTTATCTAATGATGTTTTACTTCGTTCAAAATTTGGTTTGCGGTGTGATTTCTTTTATATATAGTAGGGAGGCATAAATACAATTGATTGGAAGTGCTTCAGCCACCACGACACTGTTTTGCAACAATTCATTGTCAGTATGTACAATCTAATTGAATTCATGCCTCCCTACCATATATAAGAGAAATCACACTCAAACTAACTAGAATCTTCAACAACTCACCTAATATCAAAATAGCAAACAAAACCATCTTACTTATCAGAACCATTTACACAAAACTGATAGACAGTGTTCCCACTCTCACAAACGAATGAAGTCTACTCCATTCCATGTCAGGATTGTGACAAACAATATATAGGTGAATCAAATAGGTCCTTAGCAGATGGGATATCCTCTCACAAAAGTGATTGTTAACTACATCCTGAAAGATGTGCGTTGGCAGAACATGTAAACAATCTGGATCACAGAATGGATTATGGTGCAGTGAGGATTCTAGCAACTGAATCTAACAAAACTGAAAGAACTCCTGTGGAAATGGCCCACATATCCCAGGCCTCTAATGGTATAAACAAACGTACTGATATCAATCATTTGAGTGAAATTTATTCTTACCTACTATCAATTGATAACGCGCAATAGACATTACATAACCAAAATAGTCCCATTCTTGTCTAAATTTACAGTTTCCAAATGTTGACGTTGACGTTTCTCAACAAGTTCCCAACCTCAGCGGACATCATACTTATAGACATTGCAACAATCTCTTCTTCCTTTCTTTTTTCTCTTCCACAAATCAGCTGAAAACTACAATAGTTATAAACCACAATGACACACCTGTCAATCGACACGCACAAAAACCTCTACTCTGTGAAAAGAAAGAAACAGACATTCCTCACCTTAGCAATCCGAAGAATTTGAAGAATGCGAGCAATGTATGTGACTTGCGGATATCAAATTTTTCAAAACCAAGAATTTTGAGATTTCAAATTTACAATAAAATGAGTAGGTAACAGTTCAGTTCAGATGTAAAAATGTCAGTCTTCTATGTGTCTACGTAATCAATTTTTTCACAATATGTCACCGTTTCGTATACAATTTCATATATCGAACAACTTTGTAACCATCCTCACCAAAGATGTAAGTAGAAAGCATGGCCCTGGTGGTTTCCCATCGTATTTACACTCTCTAATCATTGTTGTGTTCCTGATGATGGAAATAAACATTTCCGAAAGCTTGGATAAACTTTAAAGAGTATTTCATTTACACTGCTGCTACTTCCAATATACACTGGTTTCATTCCTACTGGCCAGCAACGACTTCCCTTCCATATATATATTCAGAATTTCATAAACAAACTGTAGATAAA